TGAATTCCCTTCATAGAAACATGTCTGGTTTCCCCCCCAAGCCTAAAAGGCTATAACTTCTGCACATCCACAAGCTGCCAGCCCTGCTGCCCCTCTCCAGGTACGAGGGACAGGGATGCTGTCTGTCAGAGCATGCCCAGGGTGTTGTGTCTACCCTGTTCCCTTCCATTGGGCAGCCAAGAGGTTGCCTGCTTTATGCTGGGTGAAGAAAAGCCCTGATCTGGAAAAGCCATCTGGAGTGTGGGTGCATGACCCAGCAGGCAGGAAGCCTGCAGCAAGGGCAGATATTAGGAGATGCCTGAAAGAAGCAGGAAAATGACAGAGCCAAGCCTCTGAAGCAACAGAAAAATTCTTTCTTAGAGACCGAATGGCACCGAGGGTGAGGTTGTGCAAGACAGCTGGGACAATCTGACAGCTTGCTGCCACCAAAAGTGTTTCATGCTGCTTCAAAAAGCTGGGGGTGTCAGACAAAGACGAGTTCATGCAAAAGAAGGAGCAGACGACTACAGTCAGAAGAGGGAAGTAAGCCTAGCCTTTGGGGCAGCCACTAGCTCAAATTTCTTAGGAATATTCAGCCTGTGTGGAGCCTGCTGCAACGCAAAATACCACGAAATGTTGCTCGACTAAGACAAAAAACTGTGAGGAGAAAGCAGACTGGCTTAAAAGGTCTGTTATATTATTTTCTCAGAAAAAATTGAGTTTGTTTTTTAGACATTCATTGTCCTTGTTTAGTTAAATAAATATAGCCTCTGCAAATTTACAGCCTTCTGGGTGATTATGGTGTGCTCACTGCAAAGAAAAGCTTCAGGTAGGCTCACTGCTAAGCTTTGGACAACTTGTCTTTTTGCAGTTAGTTTAAAGAGATCTTAGTCTGGATTAATTGGGATGAAAGAGGCAATTTAAAGAAAACAAAAAAAGGCAAAAAAGAGCAGCTCCCCAAGGAAATTTGAGGGAGCAGTTTTCTTTGGCAGGAATGAGCTGAAGGGATGAGCAATAACCTATAGTGCCACTATGGTTGTGCTGCAAGAGAACATGTGCCCACAGTCTGTAAACAGCACTTTATCACTTCACACTTGGAAATATACAATTACCCCTTTAAAGCCTACACACAATCTCAGAAAAAAAAAACATTTTACATAGAAAAAGAAAAACTAATCTGTATGAAAATGCTATTAACAACAGTAGTTTCAGATTAAATCAAAAGATTAATCTTAGCCTTGCTTTGAAAAAGCACAAGCAGGGCAAGACATAAGGCTGATATTAGTCTTCTGGAAGAGAATTTTTTCATTCTCTCTCATGGGTTTGGAAGTTAATAAAAAATAAACATTTTACTGGAAATAGATAGTTCCATGGACTACAGATAAAACCAAACAGCCAAATAAGAAAAAAAGTATCAAGAGCTGTGTCTTACGAAAGGGCTGTTTTATTATAGCAAAAGTTTTAAGCCTGTATACCCAATAAACATACATAGGCTGAGAGCTCTGGAGAAGGAAATCCTCTAAGCAGGGTTCAGTAATATCAGTTGGGAAAATATAAGATATCACATACCAGAAAAGACTGATAAGTGTATCTGTACAAACAAATGCAAAATGGTCTGGAATGACAACTAAGTCAAAAGGAAATACAATTCATCTGTTCCTGAAAAGGAATTTTTTTAAAATTGAAGGACTCAGTCAAAAGTAACAAGCTTCACAGACTAAGAGAATTTAGCTCCCATCCAAAGTTTTTATTGCTTTTCAGAGGGGTTTCTATGGAACCATTACATTACCTCCTAATGAACAAATCCAGTTTCAGCCTTTTAACCAGCAGGATAGTCTGAGATCATCTCTCTAAGGTGTATTGCTATAATTTCTGTGAGAAATGTTTTAGAAGCCAGAGGCCAATTCACCCTGTTGAGCTGAAAGTCAGGCTGCATCTCTCTCAGCCTATCATTTACCACCACACCATCTGATGGTTGAGTCTTGGCCACATCACCTTTCAAATGAGTCACAAAGTATTTTCTAAAAGAGTTATTTTAAGGTTGGAACTCCAAGATGTTATGATGCAAATGTCAAAAGATATCTAATATATTTTGATATTTCTATGAGACCTCACAACTTTATATTTTTCCTGTCTGAGGAAAAAAAAAATTGAAGTTGGGCACAAAGTGGATGCAGGTCAAATATTACCTCCTGTTTTTTTCTTCACATGACTTAAGGTATTTCTCTACAGGATTAGGAGAAAGCACAAAGGTAACCAGTTATCACAAGTGCTGGGATTGAAAGGTATGGGAAAAAAGAGAAAAAAAGGACCAAGAGTCTGGGTGGCAGATGTGCTTGTGCACACTGCACACAGGAACGGCCTACGTCCTGCAGTTGAGGAAGTCTATGGAAACACCAGTCCTCCTGCCCTCCTCCATGGAACAAGCCCTGCTCCTGTGTGTCCACAGCAGGCTGAATTTGTCATTAGCCTGTCATGGGCATTACTTCTGTGCTGTGTGCAGTTACACACTTCCAGACTGTAGCATTGGACTTTTCATCAAGCAAGCAAAACTCATTCTTTTTAGGAAAGATGGTGTTTTGCCAAAAAGATAACCCATCAGGAAAGACAAGGCTATCAAGGTTATCAACCAAAAGATCAGTATAGATTTATTACCTACCTCCTGGAGATGGAAGAATAAAATAACAATAACAAACAATATAGTTTGACTAATAATGGGTGAAACAAAAAAAGCCACAATCCCACTCACCACGGGTGATACAATCCAGAAGAAGAAAGAAAGGAACCAAGCCCCCACTACAAAGTCATTCTGGGCAAAATACCAAGTGAGATGATATTTAGATATTACCTTGATCATTCAGAGATAGTCAGAGGGTCCTTCCTAAGGAAACTCTGCCTGATGCATCCACCAACAGACAAACTCTCCCCATAACTCTGCAAGCAGGGCCTGCTTAAATCTTGTTCTCTTAACAAGCAGGACACCTGCTGTTGATCACCTAATTGGCTTTCATCCACGATTGGCCAGGTCCTGGGCAAAAGCCAATAGAAATGTTTTGGTACTCATCTGGCCTTTCCTTCTACAGGTGATGGCTTTCTCACACAATCAGTCTCAATTGTCTCTGCAGAGAAGAGAATCGCCCATATATCAAACCCCAGTTCTGGGCACTTCAGATGGTAAGAATCATATCATCACTCCTGGTTCCAAAGGATTTTAGAGCTACCAAATTTTCTGGGCTGCTAAGAGCTCTTAGACTTCAAAATGCCTTTGCAGGAGAAAAACAAAACAAAACAACAGAACTTGAGGTGCCATCCTTTCATCTTAGTAAATTCCTGAATATTTCAGGGGCTGTTTCCTCATTTCTGGTCAGGTTTGTTATCTTGTCCAACTTCTTGCAACCAGTGAAACACAAACTTTGTGTTGATAATATCAAAAGCTATCAAGACACGTAATATACAGTAAAGGACATATATTAAGGAACAAATTAAAAAGTTGCTAATTCCAAAATTATGGGACATAGTAGCATGTCTTTTTTTAACCATGGAAGCCCAGAGTTAGATTAAGTCCTATTCTGTAGATTGAAAATCTACAAAGCCAGAATTATCAGGTTCAACAAAACACATCTCTTCATACAAAGCAATTTCACACATGCATGTCTTTCACAGAGGTTTAGAAAATCTGACCAAGCAGCAGAGTGAGTGGCCCATCAGAGCTGAATATGCAACACCCATTATTCCTGTCAGGGGGAAACGGGGCAAGGCCTGGCAGCTGCTGTCCCAGCCAGGGGTATTGGGCAGCCCTAGACATCAGGCATCTCCCTGGGGACAATGATGGGCTGAGGATGAGTTAGGACATAGATGGGTCCAGCTTGCAGGGCTTGTGGCCAGATATAGCAGCCTGTAGGGACCTAGAAACCAACCCTGCTGTGTTATCTCTAGGGCACAGATTGATGGCTATAAGCAGGGTGAGGGAATCTGCAGAGGGCTGGGCAGGGGCAGTCAGGACTTAATTTCACAGTTCTGTTAATTAGAGGTTTTGTTGCTGGTTACTCAGACAGATCTCTGTCTGGGAATATGGCAGAAGAATCCCTCTTCCAAGGAACTGAGTTCCCTTTGCCAGATGAAGTCAATATTTCCTTAGCTTTTCTGGTTTTCCAAAAGAGGAGTTTTGACAAGAGGTCATGAAGCATGTTTCTGCACAGATGTAGCAAGGACATCTACACCAGCAAGGAGGGTGTCGAAATCAAACCTATGTAGAAGAAATGTATTTACTATTGAACAAAAGTAGCTTTAATAGTTCAGCAACAGGGTCATCCAGATGCTTCTTTCCCCTGATCCTTCCATTCAAAAGTCATAGTTTTTCCCTACTTGACACTTACCTAACTGACCCCAGAGAGGCCAATGGGAGCAAAACACACCAGAAAACATGTAGTTGTTCATTACTTAAGAGTTTGTGGCAGTAAGAGCTGGAGAATTCCTACCCTGAACCAAACTGAGGAGTTTTGCAAAGCATCAAAAGCCTTTCTGACCTTGCTGCACAAGTGTCAACACCATGATAACCATGGTAGATCTAGATTATCATGTTCTCCCCTACACATACATTTGGGGGTTCAGACCCACACCACAAATCCATGTCAAGCCCACTGTGTGGTAGGGAGATAGACCCTGTGTCAGTCCCTGTGCCTCACCACTGAGCACTGCAGGGCCCTCATTCACCATCTCAGGCCTTGAAGTAGCCACAGGGACACCACTAGACTAGTGTTATGATGCTTGTGTACCATATCCTTCCTGGAAGGATGCCAGGCATTCACTGAAGGCATACACAGATTTTATTTAGTTGCATTAAGCAAAGTACATGCTCAAGGCCCAACACACACACCCCCCTAAGAATTACCAAGCCAAATGCTTGCAGGTGCCAGGTAGGTCCCTGAGAGATTTCCCTTTTTTCTCTTTCAAGGAAAGATGGAGTCCACCTTTGGAGAATCATCTTTGGAGCACAACATGCTGTCCTGCTGCTCCTCTGCTTATTTTGAGACCTTGCAGTACACATCATATTTCATCTTTGTTGCCAGCTTTGTTCCTCCTAGGCAGTCTTCAAATTTTTGATCCATTTCTTCACTCTGAGCTTTAGAGAAGAACTCTCTCCAGTTCCCAACAACCCCTGTGTACAACAAGAAGTACCAAAAAATGAGAGCGAATAATACCTAGATAGCAATGGAGCAGAGTCATTGCCCACACCAGGTGAGAAGGATCTGATTTATGTCCCTTAGTGTTCTAATTGCCTGGGAGAGACAAGGTAACACAGATAAGAAGGCTGCAGTCAGGGCACAGGGAACATTGCTGGTTGGCTGCCTGCATGTCTTCCCTCCTTAGAAAGGGTTTCATGCAGAAAGTAAAGACTCTCGATGCTACAGGGAGCAGCTGAGTTGAAGGGCTCTGTCCCTGGTCTCAAGTCTGTGAAGGATCACCGACGTGTCCATTGAGAGGAACCACAATGAGACTTTTCCTCAGTTCTCACCAAGTACATAGCAAGAAGACACCTGTGAGGCCAAAAGCAGCAAGAAATACATTCCCTTGAGGTTTAAGAGACTTTTGTCTCATTAGCACACTGCCTCCCAAAGGGGACTTTCATGAAGTGACACATGCAGCCTGGATCCATAATCCAAGATCAGGCAACCTGTACATCCAACGTCTCTGTAAAAAGTATCCATCCGACCCAAGCAGATTGGATGCATAATTGTTGGCATAACCCACACCAGTGTTGGCCCCACCTTCACATTTCACTTGCCTTACTAATCGGTCTGCCACAGGGAAATAGAGCAACATGGAAGCAATGGCTGATGGCCTTAAGCCTGTTTTGTTCCTCACAATCAGCTCCCAAATCCCATCAGTGACAGAAGCATTTTGTACAGGATGTCACAGGAGAGAACTCACCTGTCCTTGTCCTTCCTAGCCAGCCCGGCGAGTTCATGGCTAAGTGAGGAAACCTACTCAGAACTCCTTCTGCTGTTCTCCTTTAGAAGGTAGATTCTCCATTTTCAGAGACTTACCCTTCCGGAAGAGGATGTCTCCAAACTTTCCATGGGTTTCCCTGGATTTCTCTTTCATAGCTTGGAAACTGGCCTTCTCAGCAATTCTGGAAAAATCTTCCTCAGACAAAGAGAATCCAAAGAAGGCAGCAATCTTTTTCATTCCCAGTACCTGGTCCTGGCCAAAGGAACACAAGACAGAGGTGAAACCAAAAGACTTGACACCATGGCTGTGGTAGTCAGCACCTGGTCAGAAGCCCAGCAGAGGAAGTTGTCTTCCATGGTACCACTAAGGAATTCTAAGAGCTCTAACAGAGAGGAAACCCACACATAGTGGCCTCAAGATTCAAGGCCTTTTTTCCTCTCCCGGAAGTAACCACACCTGTACCAGACAGGATTCCTTCCATTAATACACAAGGCTATCCTCTTCCTAACCCCCACGAGCCTTCCACAAACAAGCAAAGAAACAAAAAAGTAGCTTAGAAAGGCATGCCCTTCTAAAGGGGCAGACAAGTTTGACCCAAGAGTTTCTTACTTCCTGCAGCCATACATATCAGAAGAGATGCATGGTGCACTCATCAGGAAAGAGCTGGGTGAGAAACCACACCTCTTTGAGTTCCTCATAGTTTATCATCATGATCCCTTCATGGTCGATGTATTTGTTCCATTCCACTAAGTGGTCAAAGTAGGACCCCCAGGCCACTGCAGACAAAGAGACATATCTGTGTAGAGTATTCCCCAAAACAGACCCTTACCAAACCAGAAGAGTCAACCCAGACAGCTCACTAAATATGGCACTAGGATGGAGAAGGGGTGACCAGCTCAACATGTCTGTTCTTTCAGCTAAAGTCAGCGCAGGACCCCCCAGCTCTGGCCACTAGGTAGCACTAAACCACAAGCCCTTTTGTGAGAACAGAAAAGCCAGGCTAAAGCTTTCTCATGATCTCTCTGCTCTGACTTAGAGACAGGAGAAATTCTGATTCTCTGGTACTCCCTACTTCTGCAATAGCATGGGCCTCTCTGCCTAGCCTGGGAGTGCCTTCGTAAGGTTTGTGGGAGTAGGACTCCTATGCACAGGATCCTGTGTATGCCACTCATATAAGGAGGAATCCCAGAGGATGCAGGGCAAAATACATTTCCCATTCATGAAGGCTGCAAAGTACTCATCCCAGGAGGTGAAAGATGGCAGCAATGGCATGTTGTTATAGAAGTGGTAATAAGAGACAGCCGTGTCTTTGGGGTTCCGAAACAGCACAAGGATCTAGAGGAAGAAAACACATAATGTAGATCTGATTTTAGTAACTGATCAAAACACCATCCTCTCAACACGTCACACAGACTCATAGAATCACTGAGTTTGGAAAAGATCTTTAAGATCATCAAGTCAAACCATAAACTTAAGACTTCCAAGTCCACTACTAAACCATGTCCTTAAGTGCCACATCTACACATTTTTTAAACACCTTCAGAGATGGTGACTCCACCACTTCCCTGGGCAGTCTGTTCCAACACTTGATGATGCTTGCAACTAAGAAATATTTCTTAATAACCAATTAAAACTCCTCTGGCTCAACTTGAGGCCATTTGATGTTGTTCTATCACTTGTTACCTGGGAGAAGAGACCTGCCACAATCTCAATACAATCTCCTTTCAGGTAGTTGTAGAGAGCAGTAAGGTCTCCCCTCAGCCTCCTTTTCTCCAGGCTAAACAACCCCAGTTCCCTCAGCCACTCCTCATAAAACCGGTGCTCTGGACCCTTCACCAGCTTCATTGCCCTTTTTTTGGACAAAATCCAGCTCCTCAATGTCTTTCTTGTAATGAAGGGCCCAAAATTGAATCATAGAACGGTTTGGGTTAGAAGGGGCCTTAAAGGATAGAGGAGAGTTCCAAACCCCTGACATGGACAGGGACACCTCCCACTAGACCAAGTCGTACAAGGTCACATCCAACCAAGGTGCGACCAAGTACAACAGGAAGATGACATCCCTAGTCTGCCTGGCCACACTATTTCTGATACAAGCCAGGATACCATTGGTGTTCTTGGCCACCTGGGCACACTGCTGGCTCATATTCAAGTGTCTGTCAACCAACTCCTCAAAGTCCTTTTCTGCTGGGCAACCTTTTGGCCGCTTCTCCCCAAGCCTGTAGCATTGCCTTGGATTGTTGTGACCCTTGTGTGTGACCTGGCACTTGGCTTTGTTGAACCTCATACAGCTGGCCTCAGCCCATTGATCCAGCCTGTCCAGAGCCCCCTGTAGAGCCTTCATACCATCAAGCAGATCAACACTTCCACCCAGCTTAGTGTTGTCTGCAAGCTTATTTGTCCACTAACACCCACCAGCCCACACAATGATGGTGCCATTCCTTTTTCTTGAGCAAGAAATCAATCCTTTGCACGGCACTTGCTACTAATTTGAGCCTCAGGCTGAAAACAAGAAGCTTTTCAAAGATGCTATAGTTATGAGCTCAGGGGCTACTGAACAGGACCACCACAAGCAAATAGTGGGCATACCCTTGCTTCTCTCTGCAACAATTCTTATTGAAGTCTGTCAGTGCCAGCCTGTGTTGGGCTTTCCACACGTACCCTGATCTCAGAGGCAAGTTAAAGTAAATGAAATAACTGCTTGCCTTGCTCAGTTTTCTGACATGAACCTGGAAGCATCTTTCTGAAGGATATCTGAAGGGGCAGTGACACCCAGAAACAAACCCACTAACAGTAATCTCTTAAGTCAGCAAAGCTGCTGCCGGGAGAGAATGCTTGTTCACAGTCTCACCACACAGTTGTGCCTCCTCAACCTTGGCAATGTGCTCGTGCATTGATCAGCTCCAGTGAAAGTGCAGAAAACATCTCGCACAGACAGAAGAAAGCTACCCTGAGGTGGAAAAGCTTCTGCAGCGTGTTGCAATGAAAAAACTCACCTTAGCCTTGCTTTGGAGAACGGATGGTGGCAGGAGATGAGGGGGGAGATGAGTTTGTATAATTCTTCTGGAAGGCAGTTTCTTCATCCTCTTTATAGCAAGTGGGAAGAATCATGAGAAGAAATCATTTATTCACGTGCCTTGTCAGAAATTGTGGGTAATAAGAAATGGTGAGACTAGAGAAGGATCTTATCACTTGGAAAAGCCAAAGGGGTGCCCTAGTGGTGTAAGCTTCTGCCAGCCTTTGCCGCAGAGCACCATTTCACATCAGACAGGCCTGTGGACAGAACATCCAAGAGAAAGGTCTTACTGATCAAACCCACTGGCTTTCCAGGGCTGGAGCCCCTTCTGGCTTTTCAACATTGTCTGTGCTCTGAGGCCTTTGTGTTGGGATGCCAAGGGCAATAGTACATGCTGCTTGTGCAGACCGTAGCTGTTGTTAAGGCTCTAGGCTTTCTGTTGCCTCTGAGATCAGCCATTGTCTCTTAGCTATTACTACTTGTAAGAAGAGCACTGCCAATATTTTCTGTCTCTGCCAACCTCATATATCCCGGGATCACCAAATTCTAGACGTGGAAACATCTCTAGCATCTTTTCAGCATTTATCCTCTCTTTCATTTCTTCTTCTGTATATTTGGCATCTGTTGATTCCAAATCCATCACCATTTGGCCAAGCCAGTTGGTTCCTGGAAGGAAGAAGACACCAGTAGCACACCCATTCAACTGAATGTTTGGCTCTTCATTGTACCTTAGCCTGTCTACAGATGGCTTTGCTGGTTTGGGCTGCAACAGAATTAATTTTCCTCATGGCAGCTGGTATGGGCCTCTGCTTTGGATTTGTGCTGAAAACTGTGTTGATAATACAGAGAGGGTTTAATTATTGCAAAGCAGTGTTTACACATTATCAAGGCCTTTTCTGCTTCTCATACTGCTCCTCCAGTGAGTAGGCTGAAGGTGTGAAAGAAATTGTGAGGAGACACGGCTAGGACAGCTGGCCCAAACTGACCAAAGGGATATTCCATATCTTATGACATCCTGTTCAGCAACAAAAGCTGGGAGAAGGGGCGATGCTGAGAGTGATGGCATTTGTCTTCCCGAGTAACCATTATGCATGATGAAGCATTCCACTTCCTGGATATGGCTGAGCAGCTGCCTGCCAATGGGAAGTGGTGAATTTATTCCTCATTTTGCTTTGCTTGTGTACACAGATTTTGCTTCATCTATTAAAATGTTTTTCTCTCAATCCAGGAGTTCTCACTTGTACCATTCTTTCTCTCACAGCGGGGAGTGAACAAGAGACTGTGTGGGGCTTAGCTGCTGGCTGAGGCTAAATGGCAATAATCAGCAAGTGCATGCTAAAAGCCAACATGGACAAAGCTGTCAGTTAAACACGGTGGAGTGCTACCCTGCTCACTTCAGAAGCACATCCCATCCCTCAGTATGCTGACCTCTGTTGCTTTTCACAGCTCTGGCACATTTTGGTCACCTCAGACTACTTCTTGGGGAAATTACTCAAGAGCAGTGGTGCTTCTAGCACAAGGTTAACTGAGTTATCACTTGGCCATTTCTGCTCTCATTCTGCAGTGCTGCCTTTGGGAACACTGTTCCCTCCTCCTGACCAGCTTCAGTTTATGGTCTTTTCATGATCAACACAGTTTAGTCTCATCCTCAGTCCCAGCTAGGCTTCCATAACTAGCAGAAGTGGTTATCAACCAAATAACCAGACCATCAAGCTCCTGTCATCATCTTTAGAACAGTTTTAGCTGTCTTGGCCTCTGCAACCTGGCAAAACTAGTGTGTGAAAGGCTGGGCTTGGAAAGCCGAGTCTCAGTTTTCAACAACTTCTTGAATGTGTGGGTGGACCCTCATACCTTTAAACCATTTCTGCCACTGCACAGTTCTACAGGCTGCACACAAAAGGGATGTGATAAGGATCAAAACTTCCTTTTTCTGCAAACAATCTATTAAGCTATTTCTCTAAAGTGAATAGGGAAAAAAGAAGGAATCTATAATAATAGTCATAGTGCAAAAGAGGAAATAACCCGAGTCCTGGTGGCATTTATGTCTTTTCCTCCATTTAGATACATGGGAATCACCTGCATTCTGCAATGCAGAATGCCTATGAAAAAAAAAGTTCTTCTGCTTTCATTAGCAGGATATATTCCCTGTATTGCCCTTGCAGTGAATGGGGTAACAACACACTTTCCTGTAGCAAGAGATGTGATTGTCCTGCTTCACCCAACACTGGTGAGCTCACCACTTCAATAATGTGTGCAGTGCCTGCACTGAAGCAAATGATTTTGAGGCTCTGGAGAGAGTCTTCCTGAAGTTCCATGAAATCACAGGATACTGGAGTAAATTAAATGCATAGAAAAGTTTTGTTTGCTCAGGCTGGAGAAAAGAAAAATAAGGCATGGGGGAATCTCACTGCACTCTTTCACTGCTGGAAGTTATAAGGAAGACAGCCAACTCTTCTGTAAATTGGCCAGGAAATTATAAGAGATATATTACAAACAAACAAACAAACAACAACACAGAAACAACCACAAACCCAAAATAAATCAAACTTACAGTGGTAAAACACTGCAATAGATTTCTACTAGGTGGTGAATCTCCACCCTCAAAAACTCTACTGGACAAAGCATTGAGAAACCAAAATTAACTTTTAGGTCTCTCCCCTGCTTTGAGCATGAAGTTCTATTACTTGACCTCCAGAGATGCCTTACAAATTAAATTCATGATCATACAAAGTCTGATGCAACCGTAAGCTTTTCTCAGGTATTATTGCTGTGTTAAATGATGGCACAAACTTCTGGATTGCAGCAATGTGTACTTTACTACTTACCAGAAAATAACTCTCACCTGTTTTAGGATAGCCTGCTAGAAACACATCGTCACTCCTGGTTTCAAAGGATTTCAGAGCTTCCAAAGTTTCTGGGCTGCTAAGTGTTGCAGGGTATAAAATACCTTTGTAGGAAAAGAGTAAGTCTTCTGGGGAAACCTTTCCACTCTCTGAAAAAGAATTTTCCACTACTTCGATGACTCTTTCCCTACTTCTGCTCATGTTTGTGTCTCTTTGGAACTCTATTCAAACAAAGAGATACAGACTGTGATCCCACAGTGCAGAAAAGACCTGTGCAAAATATTAGCAAATCAGATGGAGCACTCACTCAGGAACAAAAGTACAAGTCACTGATTAACTCTGTTAACTCCTTTTGAACTTACAGAACTGGAGGCTGACAGTGGTGACAGAGTCTTTGCTGCAGCTGATACTAGAAACAGGAATATATGGAAGCAGCAATAGTATTCCAAATGTTAAATGAAACCAAAGACAGACCTATAAAGGATATTCCCTGAAATGTTTTTCACTGATGAGCAATGCAATTTGCAGATTGGACAACCAGCACGTAGTGGACATGTAGACAGTGGATGTCAGCCTAGCTTGCTATTGACTCTGCTAACAGATCCACAACTAAGAGTTCAGCTTCTTTCAGGTGGTGGCTTGATCCCACAGCCAATCATGGTAATATCACCACTTCAGGTTATAGCTCCAGAACTAAGGAGAAGCACAACCTAAGCCTTACTTCCCATGATGAAATACATTTGAAACTTTTACTTCACAAATCCTACAGGAGCATTACTTCCATGTGAAGCTCTAACACATAGATCCTGAATCAAATCCTACATGTATGACTTCAGTTCTAGTTCTCTCTACAAGTCCATAATTTCTTTGGATGAAAATGTTCTTCATGACAGAGTTATTGGTATTCTTCCTTTTCAAAAAGCATCAGCCAGGAGTATTGACATGGAAAAGCAGGAATTTCATCAGGTCTTTTGCTGACCACTTGCCCAATATAGAATGATATTATCAGTAACATACAGACCAAAGGCCAGATCCCTCCCTCTGATTTTAAACCATATGTAAACAATCCAAGATGCCAAACCATTGGAGGAAGAAACAAATGAATACATTCACTCACAGCATATTGTGTGAAGAAAGGAGCAATATGATTCATGAACCAAGCTGTGGGAGACAGAACCGGCCAGGCCATGAGTCCAGTTATGTAATAGGGACTCATCTCCCTCCCCACCATCCTGGAAACTCCACTTGTTATACACAATCAGGAAGCTTTTCTGACAACTAAAACCCCACACAACACACCTGCTGAGTAAACAGAGCTTCCCAACTCCACTATAAGCTGAGCCAGTTCTTATACAGTTGGCATCTTGCCCCATCTCCAAGTTAATGTGGAAGGCAGGGGCACCTGGTGGTGATCTCCTCATCAGTTCTCACTCAAGGCTGCCCAGACCCTGGGTGAAAACCCATCAGGAGAGTTTTTTTGCCTGGTTGTGGGTATCACTCATATGCCAACCCTCATTCAGGGCTGGGGGTTTAAACCCCAGCACATCAACAGGTCATCCCAACAGAGACATGCAATACATGAAGGCTGAATTACCCTATGGAGGGTACTCTTTCTTTCTTCCATGCTCTTGGATATAGTACAGGTCTTGTTTACTAGCTATACATCAAACCCATAGAGACCTCCACACTGCTTTGCATCACATCTGCATCCCTTTCTTCATAAATGGATATTAGACACCTAGTACACCTATACACAAGCTTAATTGAGCATGAAGAGGTGTCAAATCAAAAGTACAACTGTGAGACCTGGAAGATTGCTTACAGTTATCTACAAAGAATAATTTAAAATTATTTTTCTGCTCTCCCAAAATGCAGAACTATCAAAGTGCACTATTTTATTGGAAGTATTTTCTCTAGCACTACTGTTTTACCCATAAAAACTGAAGGCACTGTTCATATTTTATGTCTTCTGCTAGCTTTGTCATTGTTTTCAGTTTTCTGTCCATGTGTTTACTGAGTTGCAAACAAAAGTCTCCTCCTATTTGTCAATACTAAAGAATAAGAGCATCAAGAAACAGGTATTTCTCCTTCTGCCTCCAGACCCAGCTGCCTAACTGCTGAGGGAGCCAGATCACTATAACACCTCAGCACAAAATCTAACAACCTATCACCTGAGCCACTGGGGACACTGGTGTTTCTGAGTCCTTTCATCTTTGGGCCTTGAGCTCTGCTTATGAATGGGGACCTCGATGCTGTCACAGCCATCTGGCAGGCTGCTCAGAAGCTCCAGATGTGAGGGCTCAGAGCAGTCCTGTCTCTCTGGAGAGGCTCAGGGGAATCAGGTGTCCTGAGGGCGATATGACCCAGTGCTGTCTTCCCAGCAGCCGAGTGTCC